CTTGTTGCTTCACCAACCCTAGCACATTTTCCTCATTTGCATCATTCCAAGATGGTGGCTACAATATCCATATTACAAGAAGCCAGATGGAAGTAGACAGGAGGAAGGGGAAGAGTCTCACTGTTTAAGGACATGTCCCAGAAATTACACATCTCACTTCCTCTCCCATCACATTGGCTTTAACTTAGTCATATGGTCATAGCTGCAAGGGAGTCTGGGAAATGTAATCTTTTTTTCAGAGTGGCATATGCCCAACTCTAAATGGAGATTCTATCACTGTGAGATGAGAGAAAGGGGGAAAATATATAGATATAGAACAATCTCTGGAGCCTCTGAGAATAATAAAAGGAATTGGGAGTATCAGGAAATACTCCCGGAATAAGAACAACATACAGTTAATCTACACATATGCAAGTGGCAGCGTCTCATCTGGAAGGAACTAATGGTGTTCCACATTCTATTTTATTTTATTTTTCATTTATTTTTTAAATTTTTGGCTGCATTGGGTCTTTGTTGCTCCGCGTGAGCTTTCTCTAGTTGCAGCGAGCAGGGGCTACTCTTCGTTGCGGTGCACGGGCTTCTCATCACGGTGGCTTCTCTTGTTGCGGAGCACGGGCTCTAGGCAAGTGGGCTCAGTAGTTGTGGCTCGCAGGCTCTAGAGCGCAGACTCAGTAGCTGTGGTGCCTGGCTTAGTTACTCCGTGGCATGTGGGATCTTCCCGGACCAGGGCTCAAACCCGTGACCCCTGCACTGGCAGGTGGATTCTTAACCACTGTGCCACCAGGGAAGTCCCCCACGTTCTATTTTAAATCTGTATATTTTTTCCCTCCTCCACTAGGCTTTGAGCTCTTTAAGGACAGAGATTCTATGTCTGCTGCCCCTAGTAGGTATCCAATCAATATTCGTCAAATGAAAGGATGAATGAGTCAGTAGAATTGTGATTTTTTTTTACATAAATTCTTCCTCACCAGATACTTGGTACAGTTTCAAGCTAAAGAACTGTTGGGGAATTTTCTAGTCCAAGTCCATTGTCTTGCTCTAGGAAGGTTGCCTGGGCCCTTGGTATCCCATGTTGTTATTTCTGTGTCCATCATCCTCTTGTAGGGGTTCTCCTCCTGAGCACAGTGCCCACCTCTGAAGGGTACACAGAGAGTGAACTATGAAGGCAGGGCAGGACCCAGTTCGTCCAACCTCCATCTGGGGTTCTTTTCACAACCTCACATGTAATCAGTGAAGTAGGAGATGAGAGGAGGAGGCAACTGCTTCTGTCTGGGTTGATCCCAGAAAGCTTCTTGAAGAAGATAGGTTTGAACTGGGCATTATAAAAGCAGAGCTTCCTAAACCTTTCCCCCCAGGGACCCCCAGGGCAAATAGAAGAGGGAGAATGTGACCCCTGAGGAGGCTGGGGGTATAGCCTGAAGGAACCTACTCCAAGGAGAAATTTCTTTTAACTGTTTTGCTCTGTTTCACTATTCATTCATGTACGCATTCATTCTTTCATTCATGTATTTAGCAAACATAATGCAACATTAAGTGCCAGACATTGTCTTTTGTGAAGACACACAAGACCCTGCTCTCTTGAAGCTTACGTTTTCATGCAGAATAGATATAAAACAAGCAAGCACATAAACCAGAAGCACATACATGATCAACAAGATAATTTCTGATGGTGCTTAAGGCTATGAAAGAAATAAAGCAGAGTAGTCTAGTACAGAGTACATATACCTCTCTGTGCCTCAGTTGACTCATCTGTAAAATGGAAATGATAATAGAGGTCTACAATTCCAAAGTCCCCTAACTGAAAGCTTTGTCCCAGTTCAGTTGATGGCAAACACGACTTGATCCGAACTCATTTGGAAGTGCATCTTGACCTGAACCGAATTATGTAGTAGTAGTAGTTGTTGTTGTTGTTCTTCTTCTTTTTTTAAAATCCCACTTAGAGTGGACAGTCCTGTGCTTCACTGCACAAATTTTTGTGTGTTTGATTATGAGATGCTGCCCCAGACTCCAGTTGGAGTATTACATAGTACGAGGTACACGCATCATATTACCTTCTACGATCTGAAAAATTCTGAGTTCCAAAACACATCTAGGTCCAAAGGCTGTGGATGAGGGATCGAAGACCTCATGCAGTTAGTATGAGGATTAAATGAGTTCATATATGTAAAGCACTGAAACCATTGCCCAGCATATGGTAAATGCTACCTAAGTTACCTACTGTTCCTGCCTTTATCACTATTCTTACATGGGAGGGTATTTAGAAAAGTTGCCTAGAGACGGCCTCTCTGAGGATGTGTCATTTAAGCAGACAGCCAAGGGGTGAGAATGACCTGGCTGTGGGAAGAGGAGGAGAAAGATAACTTCGGGAAGACGGAACAGCAAGTGCCAAGACTGGCTCAAGTGCAGAACAGAAAACAGGCCGGATGTCTGGTATGTGGTCCAAGAAGGGGAAAGGTGGTTCAAGGTCAGAGTGGTAGGCTGGAGTCAGAACATGCACGATATAAACAATGGTGAAGACTTTGGACTTCATTCAAAATGTAATAAGAAATCGTTGTAGTTGATCTGATTCGTGTTTATAAAGACTGCTCTGATGCTCTTGACGGATGAATTGTGGAGGAGGAAGCGGGTAAGGGAGAGCAGGTCGGAGGCAAGTGTGTAGTACAGGGTGAGACCTCATGGCAGAGTGGAGTAGGGTTGGGGTAGCAGACAAGGAGAAAAGTGGACAGGTGCGAGAAGAAGTTCAGAAATAAGGGAGAAAAAGACTTTCTGATTAATTTTGCATTCGTTGTAATTTATAATATGTCCATGTATAGAGGCTGCGAATGTCACAGTCATGGTCTCCAGTGTGTTAAGGTCAGTGGTTTGCTGGACCCAGCTCCTGGGAATGGGATCGGA